ACAGAGTTGGGATATTCCAACTCAAAGGAATAAAAATAGTCTCAAAGCCACACCTGTAATGAGAGTTGAACAACCTCAACTTAAAAACGAAAAAAGTTAATCACTATGTTACCAATATACTCAACATTGGGAAAAATCACAACTCAAAAGAATAAAAAATGACCACAATATCACCAAGTATCACACAAAAGTGTCACGGCCTCAATAGCCGGAATTGGAAAATGGTCTCAATCAGAATAATATCGTATGCGTCTGCTTAAAGAACAAATCTCATGTTCAGCTCGTAGATCATATACATCATAAAATCAAATTTATTGAAACTGGAAGAATAAAAATTTAGTATCATCCTAATCCTTACATTATTCGCACATAGACTGCCTACATCACACTCTGAGTTCGGGAGTCCGATACTCGCTCAAAAGTCACTCCATAGTCACATCATGCGACTCATATATATATATAGCCCCTCGTTTGTTGTCCTCTTCTCCCTCTCTGCCTACGGTTTACCGGGCAGTTCTATTTGACAATATATATATACAACTATCCAAATATAGAAAGGGGGTAGTATCTATCTTAGTCCACTTTCAGTACCAGTTCTATGTATATTTAACTGAAAGAATCCTACTACTCGCTCAATATTCCAACAAAAAGAAATTTGATCATTCAGTTCTCATCCTCAAAACTACCCCACCAACTCATGTGCTCATGGTACTAATATACACTAGCCCAGGTAGTCCTAATATGTCTCATATGCACAACTATCTGTTAGGATTATACCTTTGAGCCAATCTGGTTTGTCAGATCCTTACCAGATCTTAGTGCTAAAACCTCATTCATTCTTCACTTGAATTTCAACTATACAACTGGGTTTTCTCACGCACGAATACGACCTATTAAACTCCCCAAATCGTTCTGATACAGATCCTTTCTTCCTTGAATCATAGTCAAAGGCAGTGCTCGACACTTCAGCTCGCCGCAAAGCATCTTTTTGCGTTCCCCCATATATGGTTGGATCAATATACTTTTCAACTCTGCCAAAGACATCCCCTTTAATATTAGTACTTATTAGGCCACTTGCTTCATCAATCATCTGTGCATTACAAAACTTCATTATGTGCCCTATTTTGGCACAATGTCTGCAAGTGACTTTCCTCGAATTTGTTTTTCCTTCTTCAAATCCACATCCACCATCTGAATCCACATGAGCTCAGCTCCTCGCTCTCCGCTGGACCTTAGTTAGTTTAGGGTGTTCATACCTCCTTCTTTGCTCAACCACGTCCCTACCTCTATCCTTCCCTCGAGCTGCAGGTCACTCTTTCGGGATCTTCTTGACGTGGAGGGACTCTCGTCCATAACTATTTGTTTTCTTCCCATCTCCGCCTGCTGGCTCGTCCGATATTCTTTCTGGAACTTTGTGCTTCCCTCTTCTGACTTCCTCCTATCGCGCCATCCTCTCTTCTAATATCCCCACTTCCTATTGTTCATCAACTAATTCTCTTCGTGCTGACGTGTCTCCGACAATCGGTGCATCTTGAAGGATTTCACGATGATGATTAATAATTCCGTCTTCTGGAAACCTTACCCTCAGAAAGCTCTCGAGTTTATCCCACGTTCTTGATTTTAGCACGAAAGTATTTACTTCCTCACTCAAACCTTCACAAACGAATAATGGTGGCATGCTCGACATAACTCTCTCATCTCGCATTTTTTATGTGGTTGAAATTACGGTAGTTGCAAAGGAATTTAGACAAGTTCTTCCCTCGAAACAGCAGGGCCTGAAGGTCTGGGGTCATTGAATTGTGTACCGACTCGCACAACACCACCTTTGTGAGGCATGAGCTCCTCCAAAGCAGGACCTTAGCTAGATTGTCGCCTTTAGCCATGATGTCGTCGTTGATCTACACAAGCGCCGCAAGCGTCGAAACATCAGGTTGTAGGCCAAGGAAAAAATACTATCAAGCACCCTTTTCCTACTTCAACAACCCTAGTAGCGACCATATGTTATCAATATACTAGCACATAAGCCTTTGGACCTAATCTAGCAACACGCCAGTCACTACCCTTGCAGCATCCGTAAGGGGCATTGCGAGCATATGTCAAACATGCAGGCAGAGTGTTCCATACGGTCGAGTAAAACCATAAGACCATCAATATGAACCAAAACAAAATAGTAGTAATCACTATATGCCTACCCTTGTCTGAAGCTCATCCCAGTGCCCATATCCTTCACCTGGATCATGGGAATCTGCGTAGGCGCCCACAATATTAGCCATACCCTGAAGTTCCCGACTAGAGGGTAAGAACCTTGGACCTAAGTACAAATCGTAGATCAGTTCGCACGTATAATGCTTGTACCCCCATTCCCGCACTACACACGCGCGCGCGTGTGTTGTAGTGTATATTTCGATGTTCTAGCGGAAGAGTCATTCGATTTTGCTCATCCTATCGATGGAAGTAGCGTAAGGCCAGTTGCGGGGTTGGAGACTTACCT